AGATTAGTATTTTATCTGATTTGAAGAATTAATAGTAATCAGCAAAGTTTAACGATCTTTTAGTTAAAATTTTGGATATTTTCTGTACTATTTACAGTTAGTTTAAGGAGGAAAAAGTTACATTTTTTTTCAATTTTCTTAGAAGAAAAATATTTAAAGAGTAACGTGAATTATCTATTTCTTAAAATAAATCGTATTGTAAGTAACAATTCTACTCAATATTATTCGGTTTTATTAATAAATACTTGCATTACATTAAATTTAAACAAACACTAGGTTGGACATATTTTATTTTTTGCTTACAGAATAACGAAAACAGTTTAGAATCGCATACTAGCCATCTTTAATATTAAAATCTTGTTTCTTGTGACATTTTAAAAGGGTTCACAAAAAAAACTCTTATTTGGACAGTCCTATCGATTATTTAAAATAATTAAGGATTATTCACACTTGAATTCAATGGGTAATTTTATACTGATTTAGAAAATTCCAATTTAGTTTACATACCTTTAACATGTAATTTCGCAGAATATTCGTCGTCTCCATCAGCATTGGAAGCGATGCAAGAGTAATTTCCACTATCTGACAAACGGACAGGATCAAAGAAAAGCAGAGAAAAACTTTCATCTTCTTTTATTCTCGAGTTTTTAGTGTTACCAGTCAAAGAGATGTCGTTTTTCTTCCACTTAAATTTAATCGGTTTCACTGACGATGTTGCCAAACACGTTACTGAAATAACATCTCCTTCCTTCGCATTTTCTTCAAACAGAAAATTCTTTATTTTAGGCTTATCTAGTGAAAAAGAAAAACGTAAGCATTCGAGTTTCACAATTTATTCAGAAATTATTCAGAAATTATTCAGAAATTATTTACTTCTGCGCTCACGCATTTAAGCACCAAACATAAACAATGAAACTTGTCTAAGTTGACCACCTCTCTGAGTTGACCACCATAATCAAAAACCGAATTATTATTAACACTCAACACACCGGTCAAATGATCTTATCGTTTTTGCACATGACTTCATGATTTTTTTCTAACAAATATGTACATTTAATATTCTATTATTTTTTTTATTTTGTTTGTTTCGAGTACTACTTGTCATATTTATACCACAGCTGGTCATTTGACCGGGAGTTCAATTTATTGCCTTATAAGGTTATCGGATCAGAAATGACGATGTGATGCGTGTTCAACATATTGCATTCGATGAGTTGCACATTTCTGCGAAGACTGTTGCGTAGTTAGTTTAATCAGAATAATTGCGAATTCAAATTTCAAGAAGCTGCCTAAAATTTTAGGTATTTTTGGGTCAGAAAAAGGAACAAAAACTAAATGATTTGGAAAGTAACTTATATTTTACTTTGATTGCTTTACTTCATTACTAACTGTTAGTTTTTACCAAGAAAAATGTCGAAACAATCGAGACAGCACAAGTTTTTAGAAGAAATAATATTAATTATAAGAATAATTGGGTATAATATGAAAAAAACACAACTACTTCGATTTAGCAGGAACAACATATGACGCAATGCTAAACGAATGGAATTTAGTTGTTGTTTATTTAGTTATTGTTATTAGTAGTTGTTGTTATTTGTTTTAGTTGTTGTTGTTTATTTAGTTGTATTTAGTTTCAATAACTTTTCTTTATAATGCAATAAAATCTGGCGAGCAGCTATTTAAACGATCGAACACTTCGTTTGTTTATTTGTGGCTTGAAGTTAGGCTCGCAGAAAATGCCGTTCATGGGTTAAATTTAGTAGGAACAACACAACCTGTGACGTAGGCTATATTATACCCAATTATAAGTATTATAATTCTTATTTATTCTTATAATTATAAGAATTATAGCAGTAATAATAATTAGAAGAAATATGTTTGCTTAAAATGAAAATGGAAACACCCTGTATATTTAAAAAATGATGCGTTGAGCAATGAATAAAGAATTCTTATTCCTCGTGTTCGTAATGTATAAAAATTGGCATTATACAATTTTGTTTAATTATAATAAAGTTTTTTAAGTTTATTTCCTTCCTAACATCCATATTTCATACATTCAATCAAGTCCGATAATTTGACCGGCTATGGTAGAAATAGATTCTGTATGTTTAGTGTTAATAAAAGGGAGAGTAACACCTGTTTATAGTGTATGTTGACCGTAGAAATTTACTCAAGAATGTTATTAAATTCTATTTTCCTCTTCATAAGTTGACTAAATTTATTTCGAATACTTCTTGTGCTACTATAATGCTCTTTAAAAATTGACGAAACTTCTTGACCATAAGAAAAATCCATGAAGGGCTTTTACTACGAAAAGATTTGTAAGTATAACAAAATAAATTTAATAAACTAAAATAATTTCAATATTTGAATTTAAAATCTTAAGTTATCTATTTGCATATATCTTCTCGCTTATTGATATTTCAAAAGAGTATATTTACAATATAGACATCACTCACATTTTTAACTAAATTATAACTAGTTTTTTAATTGATCAGATTAACTTTCGTTACGTGTTGTAAGTAATTTCAAAATTAAACTCATCGCTTAAGATGTTTGAGGTTCTTTTTAAATAAAATTTTAAATGTTGTTTACGTAATGAATTCATATATTTATGTTTTGCCAAACTAACGTATGAAAAAAAAATTGACTTCTCTATTCTATTAAGTTGACCGCCTGAGTAAATTGACCACTAAATCAGTCAAACTACACAGGTTCTTCTGCATTGTTAATTTTACGGCATAGTTTTATATACTAAATTAACACTAGAAAATTACTATTTATTGTAAATTAGGAAAAATAATTCTTAATACTAAAATTATAAATTACATTCATAAATATAGACTGATTAAAAATTCAAAAATATTTTGTGGAACTCTTAAATGTAGCTGCACTAGTCGAATAATGAATGAAAAATATCAAATATTTTAAGAAATGGGATAAAGTAATAAAAACATTGAATTTTTGTTGAATATCGTAATAAAATTTTTGAAACATTTTCAATTACCTGCTGAACAGAGAATAATCGGAAACCACAAAATAATCCTCAAACTGATGGCGTACATTTCTTTCTTTAGTTTCTTCATTTCTTTATATTCAATTCTGTACAAAATGAGAAATACTAAAAAAAGACAACAAAATTCATTCTTACGAACACTTTTTCGACATTCATCTGTTTAGTCTTAGTTTCAGAATGGTTCCAACAAACTATGGCGTTTGTATCAGGCAAAAAATTGCTCTGCAGCGCCACATATCGACAGTAATTAGAATTAAATAATTTATACAATTTGCATCCTTTCATTTTCACTATTTAAGATATTCAGTATCGAATATATACGATCGAAATGCACACCTTGCGATTATATATTCTGTTTAATTTTTATTAGAATAATAAGAAAGGAAAAAAATTATATTCGTATCTAAAAAGGATTTAAATAATTCTATAATGAAAAATGCATAGTTAAATGTTCAATATTGAAAACAGAGTGAGTATAAAATATATGCAATGAAAATAGTCTAAGAAATCTCTCATGCGAAACTGTTCAATATTTAAAACTGTTAAAGTGTTGAAATAAATACAAACCGTGTTCCATATGCAAAGAGGAGAGCTAATTGAATGGAATAAACATTTTTTACATCAGTTTAAAATGCATATAAGGAATTAAAAAAAGTTATTCGTTATAATAATCACAATATTCGCTTCTGAAGTAGCATAAATTTTCAAAGCAAGAAATGTTTTTTTTTCTTACTTTTTAAAAAAGTGTACTTTTTGTATATTACTCAAAAGTACTTTGAAAAAATTAAATTGGCTTTTTGACGTAATGACGGCTAAATGCATAGACCTGTAATAAGTAAAAAGGAAACAATTATTAAAATTAATAAACAAAAACCTATTCAATGCAGCACTAAGATGCAAAACATTTGCTCTACGATATCCATCTATTTAGAAGTCACCATAACTATATGTTTAGCGTAATTTGAATTGTTATTTGTCCATATTAGAAGATAAAAAAATACGTACAAAGAAAAGGAATGAAGTAAGTCCTATACAATGAAACTTTTTAAAATTTCCAATGGCAAAGGATGAATGTTCATAGTACATGAGAAATGGTAATAGGTGTATTTCATATTTTGCTTTGAAGCTCGTGATTGAATAATACTGATCAGGAGAGAGAAATGCGTTAAAAATGCATAAAATGCACACAATTTTGATACTATCCAAGATTTCATATAACATGATTCATGACATTCGAGTTCTGTGTTTTTGCATCACAATTTGTCGGAATAAATACTCGAGCAGTAAAATATGTATGATAAGCAAAATATGTATGGTCTTATTATAGACATGGTGTTGATCTGAATTGTCTTTTAAAAAACTTTCATCCTTTTAAACGAATGCTATGAAAATAAATGCAATTTATAATGTACAAAAAAGTGTTGTTCGATCTTTTGTTGGTTATAGGATTATTTATTCTCTTAAACAACGCTTAGCGAGCGAAAGGAGCCATCAAAAATTTCTCCACGAAGGCAAATTTCTCCCCATACTTGATCCAGGAGTTCCCTTGTCTTCTGGATTGGGTTCAAAATGAGAAGGCTATGGAGTTGAACATTAGTAGTCGTACATCAGAAATATTGGGTCTGCCGCTCAATGACTTTCATAAAATAAAATATATAAAAATATTGGGGTGGCAGTCCAACACATGGATTAAATTTATTTTTAAAATGGGATAATGCAAAAGATTTTAATGATGTTCACATAAGGAATTTTACACAAACAGTACCGAGGAAGAACTAAAAGGGAAGGAATTGGGTTCGACCCCTAGATACGACTTTAAGACCACCCACCTTTAGATGGATAGGTACCAGTTAATCAAGGAAGTAAATGCAGATTATGCGCAAATCCGACCACCATCACGCTGTTTACGAAATTGTGAAACCTTAGTCTCCTTTGAACAATAACAAAATACTTTAATTCTTAGTTAATAATAAGTGAGCAGAAACATACAAGCATTCTTACCCAACGTCAAAAAACATAATTTAAAAAAATGAATTTCAATCCGTTTCTGTTAAGATAGGTTGGTACTTTATTTACGTCACACTAGAGCTGCCCAATGGGCTATTGGCGACGGTCTGGGAAACATCCCCGAGAATGATCCGAAAACGAGCCATTGCAATTGTGATCCTCTGCAGAAAGGATGGTTCCTCCTGTTTTGGTAGCTCGGCGACCTGCGCACAGTCGAGCTCTTTACGGTAGAACGGTTTTAGCGAGGACCGATACCGCACACCCTAGGTCCCTACGCAAGCTGTAACGAACGTAAGTAGTCACCTACTCGCCTACTGACCACATCCAGTGATGCTTGACTTCTGTGTTTTACCTGGAACCGTGTCTTTATGATCAGTCCACTGCGGATCCCGTTTCTGGTAAGAATACTAAACAATTAAGTTGTCGTATGATAAATCTGAGTCACAATCAACATATGTTAATGTGAAATAAATGTGTAATAATGTGTAGAAAATAATATGTAGTTTTAACATTGTTTATGTCCTTACATCTGATAAGAATGGTGAAGTTGGCAAGTATTGCGGGGAATATCCCATTATCGGCTTCACATTGGTAATTGCCCGATTGCTCATAGGATGCTGCTTTCAACCTCAGAACATTTTTTCCTCCTAAACTCTCTTCTTCAAACACTCTATTACCTAAAATGAACACATTAAGCACACTATTACTGCACATCACATTGTTACTTTTAAGTATTACTTTCGGAACCTCGATTAACCGAGGTTTCTGTTAACCGATTATATAATGAAGTCTGTTTTTTTTGTCCTGATATTCTTGTAGTATTATCATTGTGAAAAGTGCTTTTTGTTGTTCAATGACTTGTTTATTGCTGTCTATGTATAAATTAACAATTATTAAACCATAATTTATAATCAACTAACCATAATAAATAATTTAAAATAAATAATTTATGGTAAAAATTTGGTATACATAAAAAATACCATGGGATATTCCTATGTGGTTTTGCCTATGGTAAAATTTTACCATATATTTTTATGATATGCTTATGGTAATTATTATTTCCCATGTACGCTTATTATAAAATTTTGCCATACATTCATGGCAAAAATTTACCATAGGCAAAACCATATAAGAATATCCTACGGTAAATTTTTATGGCAAATCTATGGCAAACTTTCCTAAGGAGAATGAGACCTAAAAAATAGCCACACATTTTACTTCAGTGTCCGGTTCTACTGCCTTCGAATGTACTCAACGTCCAAGAAATATTGCACACTGAGAAGTCAACAGTGGCAAATAATGCTTTGTTTTCAGTGGCCCTAAACACCAGGTGCAATGCGTTATGGGATTGCACTTTTGTAACAATGTACGTTTGCAACAAAGGTAACAGAATATTTCAAGAAATGGTATTGTGAAATTAACAGATTAATGTGTATTAAATTTATAGAAAATAAAATAATTTCTTGAGATTTGTGTTATTTTTGAAAATGCATCTTTTAGTTTAATGTTAAAAATAATTTAAAAAAAAATTCATATTTTCTGTTTAAACTAATTAAAATTCATATTTTCTGTTTTTCTGTTTAAACTTATAACTAGTTGTTGAGTTTCTTTTTAAATTTGTTGAATTGTCAAGCTTAACTTTATATATCTATTTTTATCATTTAAATTACGTTCTGTTTTTTATTTCAAAAAGTATTAAATTTGCATGCAAGGCGAGTTTTTATACACATTTTCTATTAACAGAGATTTCTGAAATCCGAGGTCCCAGTAGCTCGGATAATCGAGGTTCTACTGTATAGTGATAGAACAGAACCTAGACTTAAATTCATGGAAAAGGGATACAAGACTTAAATTCATGGAAACAACTCATGGGTACAAGACTTAAATTCATGGAAAATTCCCGATGAGTTTTAAATGGGTATACTATGCATGGAAAATTCCCGAGAATTTTTTTTAAAACTATTTCATTCAAGGATTTAATTTTTGGCAGTTCAGCAGTAATTCTTTCTCTCAATGATGTCAGTAATCCTGGTGTAAGCAATTCTTTCTCTCACTATTTTATAAATGAAGCAATATGTACTTTCAGCTTTTTTTCCCTCAAATCTGAAACCCTTTGCAGAAACAACAAAAATTAAAAATAAAAGGAAATCACTTGATGATTAATTTTTAAAATTTCTTTTCAATCGCAAAGAGTTTTGATAAAGGCTTTCAAAAATTTCCCCTTTCACGCACAAACTAAATTTTCTATAGGAATGCTTCATTTTCCGTAGAATCGCAAAACTCAACAAAGTCTTGACCGTCCGCTTTTCGCAAAGAATACTTGGATGGTCATTCAGTACTCTTATAATGTAAGGACACATCTTGTAAATCCAGAATTCATTTGAAGCTTTTAAGGATAGAGTCACGAAACTTGCTTTGTTTATGTGATTATTTGTAATTTTTTATTCTGTTTCGATAAAATGAAAGGCAGGTTAAGTATTTCAAAAGTTATTTAATAATTTAAATTTCTTTATTTTTAAAAGCACATAACCTTACTGACAAACATGCTTTTGAAACATGCATTTCATTTTATTCATATAGCCTACGCTCTTTAGTTATCCTCCCCATTGTAGCGACATCTTAAATTATAACGACTGAGGCTTAAAATCTCATTTGATATTCCATAGAACCAATGTTATTTTAATGTTCATTGAAGCTTTCACATAGCTTTCCATAGACTTAATTTTGAAAAAATTTTTAAGAAATTATTCAAACCATTATTTCCTCTGATGCTACCATGCAATAAAACAAATTGAATAAAGGAAGATAAATCTTAAAAATCATTATCCTAAGTATAGTCATTCATAATCTGTGTAACTTTCATTTTAAAGGGTACAATAATTTAATCAATCATATTTATCTTTTTCAAAATTGTATTATTTTTTTGTTGCTAAATATCATTTCTCTTGTGTGTTTTGTTTTCTAGTTAAAGCATGTTGTCTAACTATAGATTAAAATCGAATGATGGTGTCACATTTTTCCATTGTAGTTGGTGCATTTTTATTGGCCGGAAAACCACTTGGTGGGATCCAGTTTTCTCACATGAATTTTCATATTGGTTTGGTGGTAGACAGAAAATATCACTGTTGTTATCCTCAACATATTTGAAAACGGAATCGTTTATAGCAAAATTTAAAACAATGGCTAACTTTTAACCAATCAGAAAATGCCATTTCGATTTTCTCTGATACCGTTAGAACGGTTTGTCGCAGAATGTTCTAATTTCGACAGTGACCTTCCTCGTGCTTTGATCTATCTGTATGCCAAGTTTCATAGCTTTCTGCCGGATGGTTTAGGAGTCTATAAAGGACTGGCAGAGAGACACATTCATTTTTATATATATGGATGATTTATAATTTATTTCGAAAAGAAATCGTCAGTATGAAGTGCCACATTATTATTTGCTTCATAATTTTTTGTTGAGAATGACACTTTTTATTATCAGATTTTTCACAGCTTTTAAAACTGCAAAATAAAAATTTCCACCCCCTCTGCCAACTATTCAGAGCTGTTGCTGACCATCGGTTATTTAAATAATCAGTTGACTGAATGACTATCTGTCAGTGGAACAAAATATATATACCTGAATGTTTTTTAAATTTGACCAAGGGTTCCGGTGATCCCGATGCACTGCACTCCACCACAGTAGTTTCACCCAAAGTAGTGACGACGTCACTTGGAAGAGAGAGCCAATGAGGTGGCGCTGCATGAAAATGAAATAAATATCTCTTTTACTCGTTTTACCAAAATAACAGGCATAATCAGCAGTTTGAAGTTACAAGACATTTTACCAAAATTATTTAATAGACATTTCACCAAGAATTTTTTCCATTCCTTATTTAGTTCAATTATTACAGTGAATATTTGCTCTAGTTTACTGACTACACAGCGCCGTACAGCGACAAACTCAAGCAATAGTACTTAGGAGAGACTTGTCATTTTTAACGTCTCACCAGAGCACATTTCAGACAATTAGCCTACATTTTCAAACACTGGTAAATAATGGGATACTAGAAAGATCAGAAACTAAATTATTAGAGTTTTTCTAAAATTCCGAATGACCCTCAAGGTCGATAGATGAAGAACAGGAGTAAACGATCTATTTATCAAATTTATTCTCAGTATCACCCTGCGTATATTGGACGAACTATACGTACCCCTAAATTTCTACTTAAACAAGATGACAAATTCGTCAAAAAACAGGGTATTAAACGATCTTCCATTGTCCAACATAGTTAAAATTCGATAGATTATTTCGAATTTTTTTCTGCTCAATCGTTAACACCACTCTTCATCATGACCTTAACTTTTGGGAAATTCCATATTTTGGGAAAAGGATTTCCAAGCAAATTGTTCCATCACTACTGTTTCTGATATCCCTTCTTTTATTATCTAGTTCAAGCTTATTATTCTTTTCTTTCTGGTTAACACTAAACATACCAACACTTAACATATAACTATTTCTACCATACCGGTCAAATGATCGGACTTTATGTTTCTTAAATTAAGGTATCCGATTACCTTCGGGACAAAATTTTCGAGAAATAAATATTTTCCACAACATTATTGCAATTTATATTGTATATTAATTTAAATAAGCATATTTAATAGAGAAAATTTAANTGGTTAACACTAAACATACCAACACTTAACATATAACTATTTCTACCATACCGGTCATATGGTCGGACTTTATGTTTCTTAAATTAAATATGTAAAATATGAAGTTAGAATGTTATGTTAGGAAGGAAATAAACAAAAAACTTTATTATAATTAAGCAAAATTGAATATTGCCAATTTTTATGTATTACAAACATTAGATGTTTCCGTTGTACGTTAAATTTATATGTTTCCATTCTACATTTTCTGCAAACATATTTCTTCGGATTATTATTTCTGCAATTCTTATAATTGCAAGAGTATATATGAAGTATAAGAATCATAATTGGTATAATTATTCGTATAATTAATATTATTTCTTCTAAGAACTTGTGCTGTCTCGATTAGTTCGACATTTTTCTAGGTAAAAACTAAGAGTTAGTTAGACATATAGTAAAGCTATCAAAATAAAATATAAGTTATCAAAGCATATTACTAACTATCCCAGTTATCAAAACATATTACTAACTATAAGTTATCAAAACATAAACTACTTATCAAAACATTTAGATTTTGTCATTTTTTCTGATGCAAAAATACCAATCTGAAATTTTATTCACTCTCTCGAAATTTGAATTCAGTTATTCTGATTGAACTAACCATGCAAAAATCTTTGCAGAAATGTGCAACTCCTGGAATGCAGTAAATTGAACACGTATTGCATCGTAATTTCTGATCCGATAACCTTATAAGGCAATAAATTGTTCTCTCGATTCAAATAACCGGTTGTGGTAGAAATATGTAAACGACAAGTATCGTTCGAAGCAAAAAAATAATAGAATATTAACTGTACATAATTGTTAGAAAAAGACATGAAGTTAAATGTGCAAAAACGATAAGATGATAAGCGCATTTTCAATGCAAAAGTTCTTAAACGGTTATTTGACCGGTGATGGTATGATTAGTCTTAAGACATTGTACACGTGCTCGTCTCGTTACTTTTCTAGATTCTGAGTAACGTTCTTGGTCATAATTTATAGTATCTCCATTTCTGTGAGTTCAACTATGTTTTTTTCATCATGTTTTGCTCTATCCACAAATCTATCTGAAAAAAAAACACATTTTGCGGATATAAGAGAAAAATTCATTTGCGTAAAAAAATTACCTTTGACATTCAGGTGAGCAGTGTGTTGATCTTTTCCAAACGAGTTAGTGGCTGAGCACGAGTAATTTCCATCGTCACTCAGATGAACTGGATCAAGTATCAGCACAGAAACGTCTTCTGTGTTTGTAATCCGGATGTTATCCCTCATCGTCTTCTCATTCAATGTCACTCCATTTTTCATCCACGCATAGTTGGCAGTCGGTGACCTGCTGGATGTTATGCATGTCACGGACACCATTTCACCTTCCACAACATTCTCTTGGAATGAAAATTTTCTTATTTTGGAACATTTAAAGCATTTTCTTATTTGGCCTGAAACATTTAAAGCATTGTTTCAGTAGAAATAGTTATAATCTTCGTTGAACAGCTGACCCAATTGTTTGGGTTTACAACAAACATTAAACTCCGCAGCCTTGTCATTTTGAACTCAATCCAGAAGACAAGGGAGTCCCATGATCCATCTACTATCTATGATATCTTACTTCAGCACTGTGGTCGGTGCGAGCAGGTTGCGGAATTCGCATCGATCAGCCATCGCTGGGATTCGAACACTGTTCACGTCATTGGAAGGCGAACGCTCTATATCCTGAGCCACCACGGCTCTTTAGTAGCAAAAGAGGACTTTAGAGCATCATATATCTGTTTAAGGCTAATTGAATAATCCAACTTTTTCCTAATAGCCAAAATAGCCTCTCATTTTACTATGAGGCCATGCTGATTGGAAAAAAATTGATATTTCCTAATTAGTTCTGGCTTATAACAGTCCTCCCACGTATATTTATATTGAGTAGAAAATATTTGCTTCTCAGTTATCTGTATTAGCAGTTTGCCATTTGCCCTGAGTAGTGAGGGTTCATTGCGGCTAAACTTATTTACGATACAATAAGTCTAAGCAAATTCAGTCTTAAGTAAATCTTCGCCTGTTTTCTAATTAGCCTAAAGATACATTAATTGACAGTTTCTGTCCGAAAACGTAAGTTATTGACATTAGGTAGATAAAGGTTTACTCACTTTCAGGACATTACTTAATCAAAAACATATTTAGAAATCATTTTACGAATTTCAGAAAATAAAGAAAGTAGGCGATAAACATCTACCAACATCTAAAATTATAAAAAACATGAATTTTTAAATATACAAATGCCTGGACGAGGCTGAACTAAATCAGAAGCTTAACTGTTACTAAATAAATTCCACATCAGGGTAAATAAAATTACTTCATCAGGACAAAAAAGAAATGGAAGGGTAAAGGTAGCGGGGTTTAAATCTCACCGTCACTCTCGATGCATCTATTTGTTTTTTGATACGCAAACATACGCAGGCTTGTGTGCCCATAACAAAACTGGTCTAATATGACCTTGTCAAGTCGATATACAAATTTAATGGATAACAGAGACTACGTTCCCAAAGAATATATTAAATTTCTGAGACTACTACTGGAATTTGAAATAGATTTTCTCCAAGGCGATGTTTGTTTCCAAGGATAAGACGGTAATATGGGCCTAATAATGCATGTGTAACAGTAAATAAATTAATTTGGTTTAGATTCATATACAGTCGTGTGTTTAAAGCAAATAATTGCTTATCAAAATGCAGAACAGATAGTATAAATAAGAGAAAAATAGCACAAAGATATTAAATCAACTATGTCTACCCTTCTGATAGCTTTTGATCAAACAAACGACATCCTGCAGCAAAGGATATCATAATAATATAGGGTTGCTTTACTTGAACCTCGTTATTGTTATCCCGCTAACTGCGTAGATATATGAGAGTTTCTTTGGACACATGATAATTCAGAAAAAAATAATTTCTTTCAATTTAAAGTCTTCAAAAATTTTTTTTGTATATTTATTTAGCTACATTTATTCATATCTTACAGACATCAGTGTAGTTCATTGACATTTCCTCAAGAAAAAGAAAAAAGAAATTCACCGAATTTTGAAAGCCGGGAAAATGACTAGGCCTGGAAAATGACATATTAGCTTAGAAGTTAAGAAAACAGTCATTTTATGCTAATAGTAAGTAATTCAACTTAGGAAACTAAAAAAAGATAAAGTTGGGAAATTAATTTAAAATTTTTGTGTAAATAAATTCCAAAAATAGTTATTGTGAAGAATTTTAACAAATTAGTTAAGTATAATGAGAGTGAGAGAGTAACACACACAATGAGATAGTATTTAATTTTACTATAATTTAATTTGCAACGAAACGGTTAAAAAAAAATGCAAAATTTCATTAATCTTGAAGCTTTCAGAGGAAGCAAAATGCCCGGAAGATATTGGGTAAGGAGCAGACTTTTTTGAATCTGATATTCTAAGAAATTTTCATAGTCTTTTTCCCGGGCTACTGAAAGTGATTTGCAGTGTGTTAGTCAGCGAGAATAATAAAGTTAACTTTATCTTTACGGACGACTTCAAAAACTTCTACAATGAAAAGGATAATCTTAGGATTTTTTAAAATTAATTTCATAAAAGTTGCCTTAAAATTAATTTTATAATAATTTCCATCGGAATTTTTTTTCATAATATTATTTAAATTCAAAATATTTCAAAACATTATTACATTCCTTAATTTATAGACCGAAGCAGCGTTCAAAGACTATGACCAGAATTAAATTGAACAGTGATGTTCTTAGTTTATACTTTGCATTTTTAACTATATATGCTTTGAAGAAAAAAAAGCTTAACGGCTTTGCGCTAGATGGACCATTATTTGTTTAAATTCTTTTATCCACTGTTAGAAAGAATCTAAAATGATTTTGCTGTTGATGTGTGCAAAATAATATTGTGTATAAAAATCAATCATTAAATAAATAAGCAAATAAATTTAATTACATACGAGCAACTATATATTTCATAAACTGGGTATTAGATTAATGTTTGCTTTCCCTCTCTCTCTTTACTTTAACACAGTTGTAAGAAAAATTTTTTAAACACTATAATGTCCTGGATTTTATAAGAGAGGAAAATGACAGCCAGGATGACAATTGGGCCATTTTACGGCATTTAGCATTATTTTAATTTAACATTTTGGCCTAAGACGTTTGCTTTCTGCAGAAAATATCAGGATTTCTTGAAGTGACTAAGGTAAATGTAAATAGTTTATGTTATTAATGACTTCAAAAGGACAGGAAAATGACAACATAAAAACCTACTCACCTTGTAAAATTTTTTGAAATACATTTCGACGCCGATATATGGTTCTTTATTCCTGCAATTAGACAAATTTTGATTGGATGGTATTCTAAGCAATCTCTTAACCTAACATACTGATTGTCGGAGCTATATATTTTGGTCATAAATAACCAAAAAAAAGTGGCCAGGAAAATGACTGCTATTCATGTGACAAACAAGTTATTGACAAAAAAAATAATTTTTGTGAATAATATCCTCTTCATATAATCTAGGAATGCTTACAACGGTTGAGATAAAAAAAGGTTAGATATTGAAAAATGAATGGGAAAATTCGCAGCTAGTTATTATTGGAAATATTGTTTGTGACATACCAAGAAAGCGACATTTTGATATTCAGTAAAATTTTTTAACTATACAAAGCAGTCAATGCTAGTGCAAAGTCATTTCAAAATGCTAACAGCAATGCTATTTATTTAATTTTTCTGAAAAAACGTTTTTTTAGTAGTATAGTATTAGCTATTTGAACAAGAGACAGTTAATTGTCATATTTCGCGAGAATCAACCATATAATACAAACTATAGGTGGAGTAATGATGAATATAACTTGTCATAATTAAATTAAATGCATATATAAGAAAGTATATAATATCAAGTGAAGCTGGACTAATGATAAAATTGAAATACAAGAAAATGCAAACAAATATAAACTATAGCTGGACTCATGATGAATATAACTTGCTGTTATTAATACTGAAAGAAAACGTATTATATAAGCAAGTATATGAAAGTATATGATATAAACTATAGCTGGACTAATGATGAATATTACTTGACATAATTAAATTAAAGCAAATACAAGAAAGTATATTATATTAACTAGAGCAGGACTAATGATAAAACTGAAAAATCAGTATATGCAAGTATATAATACAAATTATAGCTGGACTCATGATGAATATAACTTGACATAATTAAATTGAAAAACAAGTGAATATTGAAAAACAAGTGAATATTAGAAGGTATATGCAAGTAAAAAATGCAAACTATAGCTGAATTCATGATGAGTATAACTTTTCGTAATTAAATTTAAATGCAAGTGTATGAGAGCAGTTATACGCAAGCATATAATATAAACTATAGCTGGACTAATGATGAATATAACTTGTCATAATTAAATTAAAAGCTAGTATTAGCTAGTATATAATATAGCTGGACTAATGATGAAATTGAAATGCAAGTATATAATATAAATTATAGCTGGACTCATGAAGAATATATCTTGTCATAATTAATTTGAAATACAAGTATATAAATACAAGCAAGTATATGCAAGTATATAATATAAGCAAGTATATACAATTATATAATATAAACTATAAGACTAATGATGAACATAACTTGACATAATTAAATTAAAGCAAACATAAAAAAGTATATAATATTAACAAAAGCTGGGCTAATGATAAAATTGAAATGCAAGTATAAGCAAGTATATAATATAAACCATAGCTCGACTCATGATGAATATAACTTGCTATAATTTAATTGAAAAACAAGTGTATAATGTAAGCACGTATACGCAAGTTTATAATATAAATAGCTGGACTGAGGAAGATATTGATATGCAAGTATATAATAAAAACTATAGCTGAACTAATGATAAAATTGAAATACAAGTAATTGCAAGCATATAAAATAAACTATAGCTGGATTAATAATGAATATTACATGTCACAATTAAATTGAAATACAAGTGTATAATATTAGAAGGTATATGCACGTATAAAATGCAAACTATAGCTGGAGTAAGGATGAAATTGAAACAATATGATTGAACTGTAGCCTGGACTCATAAGAAATATAACTTGTCATAATTCAATTGAAATGCAAGTGTATAATATAAGCAAGCAAATGCAAGTATATAACAAACTATACATGGACTCATGATGAATATAACTGGTACTAATTTAAGTGAAATGCAAGTGTATAGTATAAGGAAGTATATGCAAGTATATAATATGTGCAGGTATATATTATGAACTAGAGCTGAACTAACGATGAATATTACTTGTCCTAATTAAATTGAAATGCAAATATATAATATAAGCAAATATATAATATTAGCTACAGCTGAACTAATAA